TTACGGTGTCGATCGAACAAAGCGGCACACACTTCTGTTTATTATCGCATCGAAATTAACAAACAATGGAGGCTGACAAAACGAATACTTTATAAATGAACGATCGAAAAGAAAAATACTACAGCTGAGCCAAACGATTTTTGTCGTTTTATGTATTATACATTCATATACATAATATGTATTGTAATTGTATATTTTTATATACATGTATATACAGGATGTCCTATAATTATGTTAACTCCCGAAAATGGGGTGATTCCTGAGGTCATTTGAAGTAACTTTTTCCTTAGCGAAAATGCAATCCGCGGCTTTGTTTGCGAGTTATTGACGAAAAACAGTGACCAATGAGAGGCGAGCTTGGCTGGCGCAAGGCGGCCCTAGCCAACGGGCGGTCGTGCCAGTGAGCGGCCGAGCCAACGGGCGACGGAAGCCCAGTTCCGCTCATTGGCTATTGGCCAGTATTTTTCGTTAATAACACGTGAACAGAGAAGCGGATTGTATTTTCACTAAGGAAATAGTTACTTCAAATGACCTCAGGAATCCCCCCTTTCCAGGTGTTAATATAATCATGGGACACCCTGTATTGCATATATGTAAGTTTATACAGGATGTCCCAAAAATGTCTCGAAATCCGAAACTGGGAGGTTCCTGAGGTTATTTGAAGTAATTTTTCCCTGTTCGAAAATGCAATCCATTACTTTGTTTACGAATTATTAACGAAAAACGCTGACCAATGAGAAGCGTACAGGGCTGGCGCGAGGCAGCCCAGCCAACGAGCGCACGAAGCCCGGTTGCACTGATTGGCTCAACCGTCTCGCGCCAGCTGATCTCGCCTCTCATTGATCACTGTTTTTCGTTAATAACTCGTTAACGAAGCCGCGGATTCCATTTTCGCTGAGGAAAAAGTTACTTCAAATGATCTCAGGAAGCCCCCATTTCCAGATTGTGAGACATTTTTGGGACACTCTGTATACTAACAATTAATATAATTATGGTATATGTAGTTAGTATTTAGATAAAAGTAGAAGACAGATCAGAGACTCGACGAAACTAGATCCAAATAATTATAATGTTTATTATACTATATGCATTAATACATATGTTTTGTACATTTACACATGTATTATAATTGTACGATTGTAAATAGCTCATATGTATATATACATATGTTCTAAATGTATTATAATCATAAATAGATATGGATAACACAAAACATGAGCTATTTACAATCGTACAATTATAATACATGTGTAAATGTATAAAACATATGTATATTCGTATAAAGGAAAACATGACGACAAGAATCGTTTTGCTAAGCTAGATTCGCGTTTTGGCCCACTGTGCGACGATCATAATGGTCAGTCAGCGGTGAACAGTCAGCCAGAGAACATTACACAAATTGTATAACATTTTTGTTTCCGGTCGCGTTCATTTATAAAGTTCCCGTTTAGTCTGGCTCTTTTATTCGACGATACTAACTGTATACTGAATATTGCGTATGCACGATTTTACACAAGTGCGGTAACACGGATGTGAGTAGGTGTTTCTTCAAATATATCCCCGGGTGCCATAAATAATGTTAAAAATAACGGGAATGCGTAACGGTGCGAACGGCATAAACATTTCTTGATTGGGAACAGGAATTTTGTAAATTCTCTCGACGCGCGCTACACGCGTCCCATGTAAAAACCAGGATCGATTGTTGACACTCGCGGCGTTCGTTTATTTTTCCCCATTGTTGTGGCGTGTCGCGGGTCGGCCGATTATTTCAATCGCTCTGCACGGGGCACTTCGCCAAACGTGACACTTTTCTGCTTCCCGAAAATACAGTTTACATTTACATCTACGCCGCGACACGTTTTAGACATTCTTCGTTGCGAATTTCATTTTGTCTGCGAACTGTTTGGCACGGGTTTCGACGTGCCCAATCCTTTCTCTTTGGCGGAGCGAATTGTCTATAGTTTTTTTTTTTATAGTCACATGTTCGACGGAATTCGGTTTAACGCTTAAGCCTACCTATCGAAACGATCCATTTCACGTTTCTGATTTAAAAAATTGTTGAAATTATAAAGTCTTTTTCGTAGGAAACGATCGAATAATTTCTTGAATTATTTTCGTGTATTACAATAGAAATGGCGGAAGTCTAAATAAATTCAGCGTTGTCATTCTTATAAAGCAATAGGCGACGAGTTGGTCCTCGCTACGTTTATTGTTAACACTTTATTCACTTTGTTATATTCAGTGACTGGAGCTGTACGTAAAAGAAGCTCGATAATTTTTTTTTTTTAATAATTTCAGAAATCGTTAATACGCGATATTAGTTCAAATAATTTGTTGAAACATAAATAAAATTATTATCTCTTTTGAGCAATTTTTTTAAGATATTCTCAACTATTGATCTTAAATTTCGAAATAACTATTACATAACCGCCGGTACGTAAAGCGTCAATAATAAGCAGCACCGTTTTAATGTCATTTCAGATCGATCGAATGAATGTTTCTGCTGAAATTGCAAAACAAAGTCTTCAAAATTATTATCATCCTTTAACAAGTTTAACAAGTTAAAAATAATACATCGATATTATGCGATATATTAGGTCTACCGGAAAGTTCTGCCCGATAGTGTCACTTCAAGTTTCAATCCGTATGCACATGTTGATTTGAGACATATACGACTATCTCTCTTAATCATTGCATTTACACACATGTACTCTCCTAAATAAACTGAAACGAAGATGTCTCATGTCATTATTAAGCGAGACGCGATCGTGAAAACATGGCGACTCGACAGAAAATCGCAGAGCTAGGCTGGGAAATTCTGTCGCATCCACCATACTCCCCAGACCTAGCACCCTCCGATTATCACTTGTTTCTCTCTTTGCAAAACTTTATACAGGAAAAAAATTCAAAACTGAAGCTGATGTCAACCAAACACTGGTCGAGTTCTTCGGCTCTAAAAATAAATCATTTTTTAAAAATGGCATTTACAAGTTGCCATCACGCTGGCAAGAAGTCATTAGTAACGATGGAAAGTATATTCTACAATAAATATTATTAAATGTATGAAAATTGTGTTCTATTTCAATTAAAAAACGGACAGAACTTTCCGGTAGACCTAATATTTCTCTCAGTATTTCCACACAAACCGTGTAATCTAATTGTGAACGTTTCTGTTCCGTTCGTCTGAGAAACGATTGCCTGAACGATGCTTGTGAGTTCGACTTACGTTAAGTTCATTCCGGAAAACAGTCGAGGAGGTGAAAGTCTTTAAAACATTTTCGAGTGCTCGCATAACCAAGAGATATTTCGCAGCCAGCGATCCGGACACAATTCGAATCGACGCAGATGCGCCGGCATCGCTTCAAACCGGCGCTAATTGCTCCCGACGCTTTAATTCGATTGCCGAGCTATCCTGACGAGTTCACTCGTTACCATGGATCTGCATTCGGTCGGACGTTTACGTCTGTTTTCTAGAGAACCGTGATTCCGGTGTTTGCAACCAGCATCGCGATTCTAGAAAAGGGAATTGTACCACTGAAAATACATTTGCAGAAACTTTTTCTTTAGCGAAAATGCAATCCTCGACATTGTTTACGAATTATTAACGAAAAACAGCGACCAATCAGAGGCGAGATCCAGCTGGCGCGAGAAAGGCCGAGCCAATGAGCGGAACTGGGTTTTGTGCGCTCGTTGGCTGGGCCGCCTCGCGCCAGCCGCGCACGCCTCTCATTGGTCAGTTTTTCGCTAAGGAACTGTTCGTATTTATACGATTAAAATACTGTTAAATACAATACCGTACTTGCCTTAATGAATTTAAATAATTTGAATTATTTAAAAATTATTATGTACTTTAAAAGCATAATTTTATTTTATAAAATTATAAACTTCGTTTTATAATATATAGTTTTATTTTATAAAACTATAATATTTTAAATATAGTTTTATTTTATGAAACTATAATGTTTTAAATATAGTTTAATTTGATAAAACTATAATATTTTAGATATAGCTTTATTTTATGAAATTATAAACTTTGCTTTATAATATATAGCTTTATTTTAAAAAAAAACTATAAACCTTGTTTTATAAAATAAAACTACTGAAAAATGCGAAAATTGACATCGACACTAGGAGTTCTCCAATTATAATTTGTTTCATAGCCAACTCTACCTTGAAATCACTACATATGCAGTTATTCTTAATCCCGATCATACCAATCGACTTTCTGTCACATGGACTAGATACCTCATAAATAAAAATTATGTTGTGTACCAGATAAAATATTGTACAGAACTATTAGTTATGTGCTGCTAGCGTGCAATCTTCGATTACATCGTTACATACAGAAATGCTTTTGGTTAAATCGTTTATTTCATTTCATTTTAAAATGTTTACAAAGTCGCTGTTATATACATATACACGCGTATGGTTATATTACTCGTTTCGTTAAATAATATGGGAGAAATGACAATAAACGTATTGAATTTATCATTGAGAAAGTGCTAAATGAAAAGCAAAATTAACGCAATATTATCGAAAAATATAATATCAATACAAGATCGCATTGTCCGTACTTCATCGAGAACAATATTTCGGCAAATAACGTATCGTCTTGAATTGTGGAAGCCCTAGATATTTGGATGTTCACGTTTGGAACGTATTTGGAACGTATCGATGTTACAATTGCATGGTTTTCCCTGAAATTGCTAGCAATCGTTGACTGTTTTTTAATGAAATCGCTCGCTGATTTGATCGCTTTTTATTGATATAATTTCAGTTGAAAATTACTTTTGGTTCCGAGAAAATTGAATGCACAAAGGCGATGTTTATTATTTTCGTTTAAAACTTGCAAGGCAGCCACGAGTTGCTCAATTTTCTCCGAACGTTTGATATTTGTTTTCTTTTTTTTTTTTTTTAATATCGTAATTAAGTTTACTTTTGTTTGGCACGTAGATGCATGTACTCACTGCTGTTGTTTTGGATTGTTTGTCGCATCCTAGGTCCAGGCGTATGTCCCAGGATGTCACGCACTCGAGATCCACCGAGAACCTCAGCTCATCTTATTTCAGGTACGTAAAACGATATAACACAGTATGGCATTATTGTTTCATGATTGATCGTTACAATCGAAAAACGTAAGCACGTAATATTGTAATGAAATACAACGGTGGAAACTTTTGATGTGTATAACATGGACAGAGGCGCATCACCAACTTCAAGAATTCTATATGTTCAACTAATTAATTGGAACTTCGACTCTATAAAATTACAAGATTCTATTCCAGGTTCTTCACCTCGAAAATGAAACAGTTGCATCTCCAGGCCAGAAAATTAATTATTCAGTGAAGACTAAAGAACTAAATACACGATTGTATCGCAATTCAATATATACTTAATTTTTCAATATACTATTAAATATAAATAAATATAAATTTTTTAATATACAGATTGTCTCAATGGTCACTCGCAATTGGGAAATGGAGGATTCCTGAGGTCATTTGAAGTAACTTTTTCCTTAACGCAAATGCAATCCGCGATTTCGTTTCCGAGTTATTTACGAAAAACACTGAGCAATCAGAGGCGTGGTCAGCTGACGCGAGGCGTCAACGAGGCGCGCAACGAGCGCGCGAAGTCCCAGTTCCGCTCATCGGCGAATATTTTTCGTTCATGAACAAAAAAGCGGATTGCATTTGCGCTAAGGGAAAAGTTACTCCGAATAACCTCAGGACCCCCCCCCCCCATTCTCCGATTGTTAGTGACTTTTGGAACGCCCTGTATGATTAAATGTAAATAAATATAAATTTGTCAATATACAGTATGAAAAGTATGTACAAGTGGGCACCAGGTAATTCCTTATAAAAAAACATGAACAAATATAGAATAGCTTTTTTTTGTTTCTATCATCTAAAAAAGATTCGAGTCGTTTAATCCAGTCCCAAAAAAGTTATCGCGTTTCAAACGTTGACCGAACATTAATGGTGATGCAGTGACTCTCATTAATGTTCGGACAACTTTTAAAACGCAATAACTTTTTAACTAAACGACTCGAATTGTTTTAGATGATTGCGGAACCAGACTAATACACCATAACTAGAATGCTTTTTCTTTTTAATTTCGCTATTGCTTGGAATGACAAAAAGAAAATAAAAACTCATGTTTGAATATCCAAACTCGATTTTCTCGGAAACCAAGTCCTAAACAAAAAAAGCTATTCTATATCTTTATGTTTTTTTTTATGAAGAATCACTTGGTGCACCCTTGTATATACTTTTTCAGAGACATCCTGTATAATGATGATAAATCATAATGAATAAATACATAATGAAATATAAATAAATTTATATTCAAATATAAACAAATATAAATGTAATACAGGGCGTCCGTTTTATCTGGAAGCCCAGAATATCTCGGAAATTACGGTAGAGAAAAAAATGTTTTAACAAAAGCACAACGTGATATAAACAGTTTTCTTGTCGGCGATAAAAAGTGACGGATATTTCAAAGTCGCGTTGGTTTTATAAAATAGAATGCTTTATTTTTCTATACACTGTGTCTTAGTACAATTTAATACGAATCAAATAAGGTGCGATCGAAGTCATTTCAGTCAACCGAAACGTGGAAAATCGTCGTTTAATCAAGCCATTTAGGCGTGATTAGTAACTTCCTGCATACTTATAAACGTTTGGATACCTTTCGATAATGGGAGAAATAATTTACCTCTGTTGACACTTACCTACGATGTGTATGTACTTTGAAATTAATCATTGATTCCTTTTACGTATTGCTTAAACATGTTCGCCATCGTTATAAATACAAATTTGCAGTCACAATCACTAATCATGCAGAGTTTCACTGATCATAGGTATATGATAGCTCGGTTAAACGACGATTTTCCGCGTTTCTGTTGACAGAAATGACTTCAATTGTACCTCATTGAATTCGTATTCGATTATACTATAATACAGCGTATACAAAAATACAGCATTCAACTTGAAAAGAAAACACCGTGACCTTGAAATCTTCGACATTTTTCCGCCAACAAGAAAATTTTTTATATCACGTTATACCCCCATTTATAGCAAACAATTTTTGTTAAAAACTTTTTTCGCTATATTTCGTAATTTCTGACATATTCCGGACTTATAGACAAAACAGCCACCCTGTACATTGGAAAATTAAATATATATTGAATTATAATACAATCGTGTATTTAAAAAAGCCATCGATCTTAAATAAATAATTAGTTTTCTGGCTTAGAGATGTAACCGTTCCACTTTTGACCTGAAGAACCTAGAATAGAATCTTGTAATTTTATACAGACTTGG